GATTGCAAACTTGTGGGTTGCAGAGTATGGTGGTTTTGTTTTACAAAGCATTTAACAAGTTGATGTATGTTTTCTTAAAATGATAGTTCTCTATAGGCTATGAGCAGTTCACACCCAGTTCTTAACCTAATTGTTCACATTTGCAGGAATTACGTATTATGTGATACCTGTTTACAAGATTTGATTACTTAAAACATTAATAAATTTCTATGATTCTATCAATTAGCAGAGCTGTTTGGCACTGTTCATTTAGTAGAAACTGCCTAAGGTCAGTAGCTTTTGTTTAGTCATCTAATTAGTGATAGTGTGAACATTTCCAAAACAGCACGGTATAGGTATTTGAAGAATCAATTTTCTTAGAGGGGGAAGGAAAAAAAAAAGGAGCCCTAGTTCAGCTAGCAATACAATAATACAATAAATAGACATTACAATTTTGTAGCTTGAAGTAACTGCATCTAGAGCAAGCAAGTTAGTGCCTATTTTGAATCCTAACTTTTAAAGTAAATGATTACACCATTGGCTATGGTTACAGACTTTACCACAGATTTTATAGAAGTGAAATACAATAAATCCCACAAATTGGAAGCCTAACCACATTTTTATACTCACTTCTCACAACAGTGTATGAGTACATGAGGTTCAAGACAAAAAGCGCTATGAGAACCTAACTTTGCTAAAAGTTCTCCTCTACAGATGCTCGACTGGAATAACCAGATTGAGAAGCAGTGATGAGAACTCTCCCCTGAAAGTGCAGTATTTACTGAACATGCATCAGAGGCTTTGGTATTTGGGTCACATAAATACTCCAATCTTCTGATACCGTGTCATTCTTTTATTGTTCATATTCACATGGTCAACGCTTGGTTTTATGCTGGCGTCCTCTTTAATGCTGCTGCCCGTAAAGCTCCCATATTGTAATAAATTTTAATGTATCTGGGCTCACTCTACTTGATTACTGGGGGGCAAGGTGGCTATAAATTACTCATATCTTCTACCATAATATGTTTTAGGCATTACTGTCATTCCAACTTTCTTAGGATGTTAAGATCACCCACATGTGTTTTTTAGCTCACTCTCAAGCTTAAAAAACACACATGGCACGCAGGTGAGTTTGAACTGAAAAAGAAAATGCACAGTCTGAGGCAGACAGATTAATACCTAAACAGCAAACATTCATGTACTTTTACAGAAGTGAAGGCTATGGGCAGCACAAAATGCATTGCTAGTAAAGTGAAGTCTCTTTCCTCTTGTCCACTTGTTTATCTTTGCTATCTCATCTCATGAACTCAGGTTTCATTTTTGGAAGGATGTACTGACCATAGAAATGGTTGATGTTGTTCTTCATAGCAGCCACTTCTGTTTCGATAGCTACAGTTTTCAGGAAATAATGTCCTGTACGTGGACTACTGCCCACTTCCCACTCATAGGGTGCTTCCTCTCATGTCCCAGAGCCCCAGCCATATGATTTTAGATATGAGGGACTTTCCCAGGATCACAGCAGGATTAGGTAACTAGAGCTTGTTTCCTCCCTGCTGTAGAGTTCCGATTTGTTCCAAAATCAACACTGAGGTCAGTGGACAAACTCTCATTGACAGAATTTGTTAGGATGAGATTAAGCAAAAGACACTCCGTCAACAGGGTTTTCTGAACAAACCTGGTGCACTGAATTATGACTGATTTCTCCCAAAGCCCTCACCTGAATTCAGCAGTCCCATCAACTTTCAGCATGAATGTATAAGCCCAGCACCTAGCAGGAACACAATTCACCTCACCACGTTATACCAAAGTGACAGAAATGCTGGAACTCTGGAGGTTTGTAGTCCAATCTCCTGCTCAAAGCAGAAGTGGCAGCACTGCTAGATCAGGGCTCTGTCTAGCTGAGTCTAGAAAACCTTAAAGGTGACTCATTCTAGTGTTGCATTACCCACATGGTAAAAATAGCTTTTTCTACCATCCAGCTTGAACCTCACAAGGTGAAACATCTGGCCATGCTGCTTGTTGTTATCATCTGCTGTTATCAAAAAGAATTTGGCCCCATTATCTTTGTAACTGATCTTTAAGTCCTCGTTGGCTGCTAGTAACTCACCCTGCAGGCTCCTGCACCTGACAGCAAGACTAGCACTCCCATCCTCTCCTCTTAGTAGTGTGCTCTAAGGCCCTGATAACCTAGGTAGGCATCTACTGCACCCTCACCAGTTTCTCAACATTTTCTTTGGACTGAGGGACCTACAGCATAACTCCAGAGTTCTCGCCCGGTTGTGATGACACACGCAGCTGGTTTGCATTTGACCCTAACCCCACGTGCTTTTCAGCCAGTTGAGTCTCACATCTTTGCAACCTGCTACCCCCAGGCTTACCTGCCCTCTAGTCAGAAAGGGAGCAACCTGTTTTAAGATCAACTTCACTGACAAAGTTAGGGGAATTTTGCACTTCTCTTGGTTTAGTCTGCTGCAGAGACAAGCATCAGCTGCAAAGTCTGCATACAGTTCTCCACACCACCTACAGTTGGCCTGAATCCAGTAAGGTATTCTTCCTTCCTGGCATATCCCGTGGAAAAAAAAAAAAAAAGTAACCATCACTTTTTCTGTAATCTTTACCATTTGTTACGGGTGACTGCCAAGCCAGCACCTGCAGCCATTAAAGAGTTACATGTGTTTTTCTGGCTTACCAGGAAATTGCGAGTGGCCAATAGAAGCAGAGACAAACAGCGTGGCTGAGTCAGGGTGGGGAAGCTGGGCTGAGCGCAGGCAACTCAAACCACGGCTGCAGCCGGCTGCTCTATGGTCCACCTCCCTGTTCCTGTGGGTAAGTTGGATTGTGTTTCTATTTTTCTTTATTTGGACATTCAAATATTAACCCAGAAAAGTTTCTCTAGCACTAAGTAAAGTATGTTTGCTGTGTTTTGTTTTTAGAGTTACCTATAAAATGAGAAAGTTGGAATAAACTGTTTTAGAATTATCCCTCACCCTCCTTGACTGGGAGAAGACCGCAAAGGTGTCTGAGACTGCTGGTGCCTCATTAAAAGTAATACAAAAACTTTCATTGCAAAAGTAATCTAGGAAATACTAGTTTTGTGGTTTGATGCTGGATTTTTTTATTCTTTTTTAGAAGAAGAAAAAGCATTCAAATGAGCAGAACTATTGAACTATACTTTCAGTCTGAGAGTTACAGAAGACTGTTATCTGTAACTGCATTAAATACTCTGATATTCCTTATTTTTTTCCTCCAACTATTTCAGCAACATGGGTGGCTTTTTTACTGGATTTTCTGAATAAGTAGAAGAGCTCTGATTTTAAGGCCAAAATCTCTTTTGGGGATAATCAAGAAACTACTCTTATGTCCCCATATGGAAATAGATGCATAGAACCTGATATAGGGAAAATATTTTTTAACATCTGGTGATTTGTAACTCAGGAAGGTCAAAGGAGTTTTCACTTTCTATTTTTGCAAAAATTTCTACTTGAGTTAGCCTTCAACTCCCGGATTTGCAAAACCTAAGTTTTTATTTTTATCTAAATAATCAGCTAGCAAGAGATTCAAAAATTACTATAGCTTTGTCAATTCCATCTGAAATGTAAACAGACATACTCAGGAATGGGTTAGATTCTGTATTCATTATTATATCTTCTTTGTCCTATATTTGAACGTCCAAGTAAATTATTTTGGTTATTTAAATGCTATTTATCTTACTATAGAGATAAAATGTGAAAAAAGTTGCTTTTGACTGCCTCTATTAAATTTAGGATTTTTACACATGTATGCTTTGTCTGCATCATTTTTAAAGGATAAATGGCTCATTTGGAAATTCATCTTAATTCAGAGAAGCCTGTTGTAATTATTATCAGGATACAGGATATGTGATTATTATCAGGATACAGACAGGATAAACTGTTATCCTGTCTGTCAGTCTCATGCCACTTTTTATTATTAACTAAAACTGAACCACTTAACGGCACTATTTAATTGAACTGTTTTACTGTCACAGATACTGTTTACAGATATTGTTGCAACTTTTTGGGCAAATCAACTACGGTATTTTTATTATTTGCATTCTGGCTCTAGTTAGATGCAAAGCTGAGCTTAATGCCCCATGGTGATTGTGAAAAACGTCTCAGCAGAGATGTTGAGATTAAATGAAAATATATTGGCCAGGAACTAGAAGCAGCTCAGCTATGATAGCATAGGCTTGTTTTATTTGTTCACCATTAACTTTTGGCTATCTCTATCTAAATTATCTTTGAGGCATCATTAAAAATGTCTTATTCCTGCAGTAGCACAGGTGATGATGCTCTTTGGAGGTTGCTTATCTTGCACCCATGTGTACTGTCAGGTTATTTGTTTGTGTCAAACATATTCATATTGTCCAAGAGAGGTGCTATAAATATACACTATAGGTCAAATTAGTGGCTGCTGTGCAGATATAGTTCTGCTTAATAGAGTTCTGACACTCTATGGCAGCAGAAAATTTGATCCATTTCCTCACTTTTGTGCTGACAGGTGGTATCATATTAAATAAGGTATGAAGGAGTGATGGAGACCATGCACTGGGTTTGGTTATTGAAAAAAATGAATTGTATCTATGAGAAGTGAGGAAAATTATTTCTGTCTAGCATGTAACTCTAAGCTATTTGTTGCTGCCTACAAAATTCATTATTATTTCAAAAATCACATTTTATATTAGGAATAATGGCTCTACATTTCCAAGTGATCAGATGGAAATAATGCGGAGGAAGTAGTTAATTAGCCTTGCAGCCTCAGAAAGTAAGATATGGTTCAGATAGTCCTCTGCAATTAGTATACTTTCCCTGTCTTAATATGAAAAATTTGACCCAGAGAACAGTAAGAGGAAACCTACTGGATTAGGATGAAGAGCATTTGGGAAATACGGGTTGGTGCAATATTTTGGTAGTAGTGAGGAAAACAAGAGAGAGGTCTAAAACTTTCTTTTTCTTTTTTCCCCCCTCTTCTGCACCCCTTGTCCCCAGGCCTGCAATGAAGAAATGGCCAAACAGTTGCCTGTAATAGCGCTGGAAGATTTGGATAGCTTTACCCTGACCAGGACGAGCTCGGGCTTTGCACTCAAAGCCTTTCATGTTCCTTGGAACATTCCCATCTCAGTGAAGCTGCTGAGCAGCCAGAATACTGCAGAGAGGTAAGTGTCCTACCCGGCCACCACCAGCACAGATTAGCAGCAGAAAGCACAGGGATGGCACCAGAATGGTGAATTGTGGCATGCCCAGGATCTTCTGATCCCTCATCATGTTTTCATTCCTATGGATTGCAACTAGCCAGGAGGCAACATAGAGGCATATTCCTGGAGAACCTTGAAGAGATCTCTGCTGATTTTTATATAAAACAGCTAGTATAGATGAATGAAAATAGAAATGGGAGGAGGGAGGGGTGGTCAGGGTTACAGAGCACTGAGGTGTGTGAGTTTTGTAATTATAAAAATAAACCAAGTGATGAACGTCAGCCTGTCGCCTACAGAATTCCAGTGTGCTGACAAAGGCACAGAAAGTTTCTGAGAATAACCCTGTACTATTTCTGATGATGCAAGACCAGAGCATTTTAGGAAATGCTTTGACCTGACTCTAACAAAAATAAATGTGTTTGATGTACATATAAGCACTCTTTGAGCTAGTTTGCTAAGAATGTGGAAATTTGTGTGGCTTTTGTCAGAATAAAAGTGAAAGTGTCCTAGTGGAACACATGGGGTTTCATTTATTACAAGGAGGAAGAAACAGTATATCAGATAAAACTTTAACTGTCCCTGACTCTTGGCAGTACTTGTTTTTTAAACTATTAGCTTCAATTAAAAATTAATGGGAGGGAGTGTTTTGGTTCTCTTACACAAATTTTAGAACTAAAAAAGTCCAGTATCATGCTTTAACATGGTCTTATCGATGGGAGGGAGTGTTTTGGTTCTCTTACTGGACTTCTTTAGTTCTAAAATTTGTGTATCATGCTTTAACATGGTCTTATCAGATAAGCAGGGAAGGCCATAGTTTCCTTATAAAAGAGGGGTTTGCTAATAGCAAAAAAATGAAAGGGCAGTCGAAAAAAAATTTTTTTTTTCTCCTAACTGGCATGTCCTATAATACAGCTTCCTCCTGTCGTTCCTTTTCACGTCCTGCTTTAAACTGTGCCCACGCATATTAATGCACCTAGAGTTCTTCCATGTTACATTAGAAAACTACACTACAAAAGGTATTGGGCATTTTTCTTCAAATTGTTTGGTAGACAACATCATATTGGTCCTACTGAACACAAATTAAGAGAATGCTGTTAACCACACAGTTATCCTTGAATCATGTATCTCACTCCATCCCACCTCTAGCTGAAATTCCTTTCAGTCCGAACTGCCTCTGACCTTGCTGTTCATTACAGGGAGTGGAAGTTGCTGCTTCAGGATGTGGCAGCTCTCCAGCATTACCAGTCTGACCGTCTCCTGCCTTCTCTGGGCATTTACCAGCACTGTGGGCTCATGGGGACAGTGACTGAATGGATGAACAACGGATCCCTCCACTCCCTCATCCATGAGGTATACAGAAGCAGTTATATTTTATGGGATAGTAGCATGGAATGTGAGTAGCAGCACTACCAACTCCTGTGCTTTGTGTTCCTTAGCATCAGCTGTACCCGGAGCTTCCGCTTCCCTTGCTCCTAAGGATCCTATGGGATGTGTCTGAAGGGCTTCACTGCCTTCACAGCCTCGAGCCTGCCCTCTGCCATGGCAGCCTTAAACCTTCTAACGTCCTCCTGGATGCCCAGTACAGAGCCAAGGTGGGAACTTTGTGCTTTTAGCCCACAGTCTGTTTATGTAAAACCCAGTGACTGTCCTGTCCCTGCACATATAGAGTAAATACTCTAGCAATCAACATTTAAGACTGAGATATGGTTGTTTAAACGCACTTTTTCTCCCATCTCTGTAGATATCTGATTATGGTCTAACCTCCTGGAGGAAAGAGCAGCAGCGGTCAGACCTGCAGAACTGCAATCACAGAAACTGCCCGGATTTCATGTACCTCTCTCCTGAAACACTTGAAGGAGGTTTGCCGTCACAGGAGGGTGATATTTACAGGTGAATGGGATTTTGAACAGCAGGTCATGCCTAATCCTTGCTGCATAACCTCATGTTGCTCAAATGCTCATTTTCAAAGCCACTACAACAAAAATACTTAATCTACCTAATGCATTTGGATAGTATCCCACATGAGGCCTATTATAGCAGTGAATTAAATTGAAATTCCTTAGAGCAATATACTAAGGTTAAGAACTGCTCTTTTATAGGTCCATTTATATAATGAACCTAAGCATTTAAAAAGTGTAACAAATTGCCAAAAAAGCTGGTATGACTCCTTCACATATATTTAGGAACCTAGCAACTATAATTCACATTGTTTCTATGTGTGAACTGTTGCCGAATTTCATTTCGGGAAGAATTGTTCACACGCAGATAAAGCCACCTAAAAATAAGACGTTTATCTCAACAGTGTCCCATTAATGTCTCAGACTTTCTCCTGGTATAGTACATACTCAGGCATGAATAATTTTTAACTTAATATTCCTTCATATAAATCACTTATGCTATGCGTCCAAAAGTTGCATGTCATGACGAGTAGATATTTCATAATTGCCTCAGTAAATGAGACAATATCCCAAAGTGCAACTATTGGCTGTATGGACATACACCACAACAGGGATACACAGCCTGTGGAGTTGCATTATAAATAACATTTAAACACAACCACTCTTCTACTCTAAGAACTTTTATATTTTCTGGAAACAAGAACTGCTAGAGGACAAGGCACTAAGATGAAATATATAATGCCTCACACTTCAGGATACCTGTAAATGACGTGACTAATCTGATGCTGCTCATGAACACAGTATTTTGGCACAGGGAAGAGTGGAGATTTACTTTCAGGTAGCATAATTCATTTTCCAGTGTGTCATTCCCTGTTTAATTTTAGATGCTCGGATGTGACTCAGTGCCTGAGATAGGTGCATGTCTAGACAATGGTGCAACAGGGGGGAAAAAAGTGTGTGTGATATGTCAGATATTACTTAACTGTATGTAAGTTACATGTATGTCCATATTACATTAGTATTTTGTAAAGGTATTTAAGTAAAAGCATTTGTGGACATATGTGGAATGAAAATTTCCTGAAACAGGCACGGTAGGTTAGGATCAAGCTCTTGATACCCTGGTCACTACCTGCTGTAATGTCCAGCTTTTTTAGTTGCTATTAAACAACACAAATGAAGGAGAAAGGCAAGGAAAATGTCTTGCAATCCTCAAGAGCAAATTCAGATTTCTACCTGAAACGCAATTCTAATTGAGCCTTACTATTTTGTAAAAACAGCTCAGTTGGTAATTGAAACTTAATAATGCAGGAAAAAAGAATCTTATGGACTTAGGGTAGACTTTGTCTTGAAAAATCTGTTTCTTTCAAACCAATAAACTAATTTTGGGGAAATAATGAAAACACAGACTTCCCGGCTAATAACCATTCTTTCACTGTTCTTGCTTTCCAGTTTTGGAATACTCTGTTGGGAGAGCATTAGCAGACAGAAACCGTTTGAAGGTATTTATCTCTGTGCTTCATACCTGATTTTATGTCTTCTCCTATTTTCTTCCACCAACTTTATTATCTTAGGGAAGGTATGATAAAAATAGCACAGTTTTCAGATGTCCCTTTGCCTTTTATCATTGTCACAGTGCACAGCTCCACGTTATGGGATCCAGAAGTCAACAAATCCTTGTTGTTTCCAAAGTAACTGACCTTTCTTCAGATTCTTGCCTCACTTTTATTTATGTTTGCCAAAGCAGTCTTGTTACTCTGATAGTTGAGTTTTATGCCTACGTTTAGTGAGAAATGATACCCTTTAGCATTTGTGACAGTTGTCATTTTTAATTAGGCAACAGGTTAATGGTGGGTAGCTTACCAGATGAGCAGAGTTGGGTGTTCCTACCAATTTCTAAAGCTGCTCCAAATTTCAAGAAATGGTGGTTTGGGCAACATGCTCCTCGGGAAGCCTTGAAACTTGCTTTCTTTATTCTGGTAGATAAGCAGTTTTAAAGAACTTGGTTTTCAAAGCATTGTGTAATAACTGTCATGCTCTAAGAATGATCCCTGTTTTATGGAAGTGGAGACCAAAGAAGGGTTATTGGTAAAGCTTTTTTTTTTTTTTTTTTTTCCTCCCCCTCTCCTGGCAAAATTGATTTTTGCAAGAGAGATTAAAAATACTGCATAGAATATTATGTTACTTTTCATAGAGTTTTTACTTATGGCTGCCATCTTGTGGCTGCCCAAAGCACTTTCCTATTTACACAACAGGATTTATATTCTTATAATGCAGCTGCATGGCCTTATATAAAAGTGCATGCTTGAGACATATCCATAATAATGGCATGCAGACATATCCATTTGTGACTTATCTGGATGGAATTTTTTTATTGAGAAATGGCCTGTGGCAATGTAGCTACGGATATTGTTCAAGGTGGTGAGCAGATCTATTTATAACAATGTTAAGAGGTCTCTAGTTCTGCTTTAATAAAAGCAGGGTGTGGTTTCAAAAACACAAAATAACCTCTGTTGAATACATTTCAAAGTAATTCTGAGGTCCTTAATACCTTTGCAGTGATGTTTTTCTATAAATTGCAGGCCAAAAAACCCTGCTGGAAATTTTAAGGAAAATCTGTAGTGGTTTGCGTCCTGGGACTTCAGCAAAGTTCATACCGAGCAACTTGCCACAGAGGAACAGACTGGTGCAACTCATTGCTCTGTGCTGGCATCAAGAACCAGATTACAGGCCACATATTACAGGTAACTTTCCAGATTTGCTATCTTTGAAGGATTTGCAATAGAGATAAACCCTTTTTGAGTATGCTGCAGCCCACTAGACAACTGAAGTTGCAGGCAAGGCAGTCTCTGGATCATCATCAGAGTATTTCATATATATATATGTATATATATATATATATGTATACACACATGTGTGTGTGTATTTAATAAAGTTTTCTCACAGGACTTATTTTTGGTATAATGTTAAAAAAGGGGGCAAATAAAGGTAGAGGTGTTGTCAACCATATGTACTATTTTAGCCTGTCTTCAGCATTTCTTGCTGCCCATGTGTAACCTGTTTACTTCAAAGTGTGGTAAGGAAGTATCAGGGAGAAGCTGCAGCTACTCAATTTAATAGCAAAAACTTAGTTAGTTGCAGTACCTGCAACTAAGTGTGATGCAGAGATATATACATATGTTCAAATGTAACCTGTGGTACTTAAAATGTTGCATTCCTTCTGCAGAATGCACAGATGTTCTAAAGGGAATTTTGGCTAATATAAACAAGGAGGCAATTTCCACTGCGGTCTACAGTCTGATGGATGCAAAGGTTAGTGCAAAACTAAGTTTGTTCCTCTGCAAGGACATTGTCTGATTTGTTACAACCTTTACATTTGCATGATTCATGAACAGAAACGGTTCCGAATGGTTTGGTCTTCATTGCTTTTTTTGGTCATGTCAGAAAAATGGAGGGTAACCTCAGGCTTTTCAGGTTCATTCAGGAATTGCAGAAGATACATACTGTGAAGCTAAGCATAATAAGGCTAATTCTCTAGTGTGTCCTCTGGAAACATCTGGCTAAGTGCTCCCTGAAAGGAGGATTACAAATGTGATCACTCCTTTCTAGCTAGCAGCTTCAGTAGATTGGTAAAGCCATGCAAGTGAGAACAAGCCTGAAGCAGATCAGGTCTGGAAGTAAGGCTAATTTTAGGACTTATCTAATCAAGGAATGGTTAGAGGATATTTATTCCAGAACCAGGACAGTGTTAGTACCTGCTGCAGCAATGCCAGCATCATACTCCTATATGTTTTACTGCTTCCAAACTGAGTTGGTTTGATTTGTATCTAGCACAAAATGACTACTGTTTGCCCTAGGGTCCAAGAGGGTGCTCTCATACTGAAGGAATGGATGGGGAAGAGCCAATAACTGAGGGACACAGCAAATGCCACACGCTGCCATTGGAAATCTGACTACACAAATATAGCTGTGCGCTCTCTAGCTTAGATGCACGTAGTGGAAAGCTACAGGGACACATGCTGCAGGCACTAAATAAGAACTCTGACTTCATCTGCACTTACACAACCCATCTCCAAACCCATGTTGCCACAGCTTCATTATGGTGCTTATGTGAGCTGCTTGCATTAATGCATTCAGGATTATTTCTACATACCATAATCACATGCTAGGATTATAAAGCAAACTTGGTCATTGTTTGAATAGGTGACATAGCAACAGTCCAAATCACTTAATTACCAAACAAATTTATGGAGTATTTGGCAGTGCATTCCTAAACAATCTAATGCTTTAGACTTCCTTGGGCAAGGTGTTATTTTCCCATTGACTAAATTAGCAAAGAACACTATTTACTGTTCAAACTATGGTAGTATATACAAAGCCACTGTGAAAAAAGCTACTGGAGATACTTAAAAGAGGGAAATAGACTGCAATGAAAAAAAAAAAGTTAAACAAATCTGCTGCAGACGTAAACTGGAAAAAAAAAAAAAGTACAAGTATTGACACATCCTTATTGCAGACGGCTTGGCATCCTAAATACAGGATGACCTGGCTGTTTGGATACGTAAAGGAAGGCTTGTTATAGCTAGCCCAGTGCTGCTAACGTGCATTTCTCAATATAAGGTTATTCTCATCTTTCTTTGCATGAATCAAAACTAGCTTTGAAATTAATCTGGAAACAGCAGTAATGGTAACAGGGTAAAGTTGTCACATTTCACAGCCTGTGACATCTGTTGAAACACCAAGTTGTTCCACAAAACACTTTATTGCTACACATGGACATACCTAAGAGTAGAATGACCCAGTGTCCATATAAATTCTTGCTCATGAGTGCTGTAAACAGAACAAAGATAGTATCTGTGCATTACTACAGTTACTGTGTTAATTTTTGCAGGAGACAGCACTTAATGCATGCAAAGGTTCAGAAACATACACACTGCAGACAGGCATACGCAATTCAAAGGTGAGTAAATGACGTGCAATTGAGAGTTTTATCTATAAGAGTATTTCGTAAACTGGATGTTTCATAAGCTGTATACCAGGTAGGACAGTGCTTAATACACTCTGGGCAAAATGTTTTCAGCTCTTTGTCCCTAACCAGGTTAGCTCTGCTTTCTTTCAAGCAGATCTTGATGTTGTTAAGAAAACAACCTCTTCCACTTAAGAGTTGCTCTGAACCTCTTCTTAAAGATGTCCTATTAAAGTGGCAGGAAATGGCCTTTTCTCTGGCCTTTTCAAAACACCAGTTGGGGAAAACAAACAAACAAAACCCAAAAGCCTAAGGCTAAATTCCAGCATTTGTAAAGAATTTTCTTACAGAGCAAGGCCAACTGCTGTGTGATCTCTCTAAAATATACTTAACTCCCACCTTTAGATTTATTTTGGTACTTATGGCAGATCTGCCAATACAGAAAAATGCAGAGTTAGGATTGAAGCTCTTGTGCATGGATCAGATTTGTCTTTAAACTAAACAGGTCATGTTCTAGTGACACCATGACTGTTGGCAGGATGTCCTACAGAAGCTATCAGGGACAGCAATAAAATCAAGCAGAAGTAGCCTGTGGATTTGTGCTGCCACCAAAATGCTCTGCAAGTAGCTGAACTTGAGCTAAGTCAGCCTAAGGCTGAGCGTTTTCTTATCCCCTTCACACCCCAGCACACACAGCCTTAGATTCCAATGGAAAACTGCTTAGAAAAGGACATCTCTGAAAAGTTTCCAAAGAGATAATTCTGCTCTATTTTGATCTTTTCAGACCATCTGTCCACAAGAAAACAACCAAGTCATCAACAAGAAAATTCCTCTCCTAGTGCCAAACCTGTCAGCTATCCTACTTGACAGTAGTGCAAGTAACTCAGGAAAAGAAAATGCTCTCGAGATGGCTTTGGCAAATACTATCCCACCAAAGACAACAACACAGCAAGGTCTCTGCCTTGGAACATATTCGACTCCTACTACTCTACAAAAAGGAAAAATATTCCTACTTGTTCCACATTCATATGTATTTTCCAAGTAATTCCAGCTTTCTAATTGTCCATTCTCAAAGTACAGCTTTGGGGGGGAAAAAACCCAAGGCATCCTGAAATCTTTTTATTTTGTACATAGACCAAAAAGCCTCTTTCAGATATGTTTTTTTTTATAGAACCCTAGACTGTACATTAGACTTTACTGTACAGTTGCCTTTCCCTTGCATATCAAATATTGCCTGACATTTTCTATAGGAACAAGTCAGTTTCTATTTTCTTGTGCCACCATGAATAACTTTTTTTTTGGTAATCTGCCAATAAGAAAAGCAGTTATATATCAAGTCTCCAGGAATGTTTTAACAATTCCTGGCTGTCACCATTCCCATATAAATAACTTTCTTTGCCTTTCCCCTGTGGATTTATCTTGTCAAAGTATTCAAATCTATGTCAAAAAGAAATACTTCCTTAAATGCTTCTTGTGTATTCCTTATGCCTTCAGACAGAAAAGTTGTGCAATAGAAATTAATTCAATTATCACAGTGACATCTGCATCCCTGAGTACTTTAGTTCTGATAAACAGCTGTCAGACTTCCGGATAGAGTAAAATTTTCCATAACTTTAGAAACAAATTCCTGAAGGCAGCTTTACTGAGGTTTGAAAAAACAAATGTGCATAGTAATATATGTCAAATCTTCTTACAAATAATGACCAATTACCCAGTGCCCAGAGAGCAGCTCATGATTGGTAACTTCTCTCAAGTTAGTTTGTACTTTAGTTCTATAAATTATGTCCTATTCTTCAATTCAACGTTCTCACCTTTCCCGTCCTCAATTTCTCTAGATCATCCAGGTTCTAACGGTAGGAAAGCAAACCTGGGGCCTTCCTTTTCTGCTGTTCCTTTATCTGGCGCAACTACAGGCAGAGAAAGCAGCCTGTGCCACAAGAGCCCACGAGAGCCACTGCAGCACAGGCCACAAAGCAGGAATCCTGAGCAAGCACTGCCAGGTAAGACTCCATTTCCAGTATGAGGTGGAAATATTCTGCTTGGTCAGATTACAGTCAGCGATTAAATGTTTAGAATCTGCAGTTTTGGGATTTTCTGGCACCTTTTCAGTTACTACACATCCTCTGAATTTCATTTTGCTGTAGTGAGAAACAGGATACTAAACAAAATGACTCATGGATCTGTTGGAATACAGCTATTCTTATATTCCCAGACACTCAGGCACTGAGTTCCCACTGACTGTTGGGAACATTGGTTTGTTCCTTTCCAGGATCATATTCGGGCTGAAAACAGTTCTGAAAAGACTAAAAACGATCATAATGAAAGTAGAAAAAATAGCACACATTGTATGAAATACATTCACTGTTTTTTAAAGTCCAGAACTTTGTAACATTTTAAGCTTTCTTTGTGAGTATTTCATATCTCTCTCCCTCCTTACAATGGTCTTGATTTTTCCTACTGAAGAGAGGCAGAAAATATCAGCTTCTGGGTTGTAAAGCCTACCTCTCTTCTGAAGAAAAAGGCTCACAAATTTTCTTGTCAACTATTTTTGCCAATTGGGTTGTGGTAACTCTCACATCTAGCTTGCCATCATTCTCTGCATCAATGCACTGATGATGAAGTGAGGATATAATTTCTGGATAAACCAACAAAATGGCTCATGCAGGAAAAAAAGAAACCAGAGAATGACAGAACATGTCCTCCAAAGTAGCAATAGTCTTTGCTTATTAACTTTCACTTAGTGTACAGTATCTATCCCACACTAATACAGAGCTCTTGACCATTTTGTCAAGAAGATTAGTTTTGTTATCAGTTTGTCTTCAACATATTTTAACATTCCCTATTTCAAAACACAATTTTCAAATAGTCTATCCTCTTGCACTGGCTGAGCTGTTATCTGTACATCCACATTCTACTGGACAAGGCTTTCTCATCTAGGTAGAGCTGTTAAGGGTGAAGTTCGATACAGAAATCTAATACAGATGCTAGAAGAATGAAAATTTCCTTTCAGTAGACAATCTGATCACTTAAAAAGCAATCTTTAGAAATAATTATTTTCTGTATTTTGTTCTTTACATTAGTTTTGAACAAAAGATACAAATATATTTATGTGAGTTTTGAGCAAAGTGTGCAAATAAATGAATGTTTTCTCATAGCATTCATATTTCTGGAGGTTCCCCCATTTCTCTGGGTTGATGCAGTTGCCAACAGCTTATGGAAAAACACAGCCCTTAGTTTATCGTATTGTTTCCTCTTTTTTTTTTCCCCCCCAAGGTCCTTGCTGCAAAAGGAACTGCTGCCAAATACTAACCTGCCGTCGGGAAGCCATTCTGAGCTGCATGACGGAAGGACGCCTCAACCGCATCCTGGATGTCCTTCGCTCGCAGCAAACCATGTCCCGAGTGGACTACGAAGCGATCACCTCGTACCCCACAGTGACTGCTCGCGCCCGCGCGCTGTTAGATACTTGTCTTTGCCTTGGAGAGAGGGCAGCACAGGTTGTAGTGACTGCAGTGAGCAAATGCAGCCCTTTGGCACAACGCAACCATTGCACAGACTGTCTTTCTAGGCAGATAAATAAGCTATTGCAGTGACTTATCTTTTGTGGCTTTTTAGTAGTTTGGAATGGGAATGATTCACATCCATTCCTCAAAACCATTCACTGAAGTCAATCTTTCCTACAGCTCATGAGTTTAGTCCTCTAATGGAAAAGGCTAACTGGATTATAAGATCAAGTCACTCACTGCCTGAAGAAATTACCAAGACTGATAAAATAAATTCTAACTTGGACCTCAGAGATGGGAGGATTATCATGTGTGCCCAAGCAAACACACTTCAAGTCAGATGACAACTTGTTTCTTTGATTCTGAAAGAGCACAAAGTGGATCTTGAATTTTTGGAACTCACATTACGCAAAGAAGGCTGTTACCAAATCCTTTCAACTAAAGGCACTGCACAAAGTGCTGGGTGAGAAAGAAAGTCTCTTGCTTTCATGTACCTCACAAGCAAGCAACTGTGACAGTGAAAGGCTTAAGACGGAATCAAGAAATCTCTCTTCAACAGGTCATCAAAAAAGCTTTAGAATGTTTTACGTTATGCAGATAAATTATTTTCCCTCACAAATGATGATGCACTCTCAAAACAGGGCACTGATAAGCACCCTCATTTGAGGGGTGGTACTTAGAGAGTTTGGTAAACTGAACAAAATTAATACCTTATATTCATGCCGTTCTCTGAGTTGTGTCTGCAGTTCAGAGGTGAAATTAAGTCAAAAGAAGAGACATCAAGCTGATCATTTAGTGGTTCTGCTGAACTGTAAAGGAAAATAGTAAGATTATCTTAATTATAATGAAAAGGAAGTTATACAAGTCACTGCTTTTGAAGGCACAGTGGGATTACTTCAAGCTTCAAGGCACACTGGATTAATGTGAGAATTGTTAAAAAAGCTACAAGTATTTCATATATAAAGCTCAATGCTGGGTTTCCCTGCATTGCATTTGTTCTCCTTGCACTTTCAAAATGCTTAAGTGAATTAGTAATTTGAGAGGTTGTAATCTTAAATATAGTAATCATGTGCTATGTAAGCATGTTTAAGATGTAAGAGATTTGTTATTCCATGTACTATAATGCTGCTAGAACCATTAACTTCAACTAATTTTTTTAAAAGTAAATTTATTTGGGTTTAAGACTGAAGTGAAATACTGTTACAATTTAAAATATTGTCTACCAAAATTTGGTGAAAATAGTTTTGCCTATTAAAGATGTAAACGTCACTGATTTTCTTCAACACTTTAAATGGGAATTTTTAGTATTTCTTAATGAAGAATATCTTGCACACGAGGACAAGAACTACCATCACAGTGTTTAAAAGGTGTATGATATTCATACAAAGCAAAACAGAAAATCATTCATCTATGGTGAATTAAGTATAGACTATTAAGAGGGAAGCTAGCAATATTGCTAAAAACTATCATCTTTCAGAAACAATTGTACTCTTGTTTTGCTGGATATTTTATACTTCCATGAAAGATGTGCGTGCTGGCAAACTATCTTGATTTTGTCGTAATCGTTTTGACATAGAAACAGTTTTCTTTCTGGGATTTTTGGAGGAGTTCTTTTCTATGTTGTTTTCTTCTTGAACCAGTTTCCTATTTCATCATTTGATGCCAGGCCTCAGTCTCAATTGCTAATGGCAGAACTGGCATGAAACCAGTAGGAGCCTAAGTTGTCTGTTTTTCCAGACAGGTTTTGTTCTTTTCATATTTGTCTCTCTAAGTGTTCTTGATAGGATGTGACTTTTCTGAGTTACTGCCATCATGCTTACCCAGGTTTTTATTAAGATAAGCCAAGAAGCCAGCTTATATCCAATTATAAAATAGGGGCAAAATTGTTATTCATTTTTTAAAAAGCCTGAATGGAAACCTTTATTTTATTTGCCAATTAACTCTAAGCCACAATCAGATTTTTGTCATCTATTCAACTGCAATTAATGCTTGAGTTTATTGAAACTTTGCATTAATACTTCGGCTAGAAGCATTATCAGAACTTGCTATAACCTTGCCAACGCCTTGCTATAAGTCTACCTTGAATGCAACTTATGCTTTAGCCTAGAAAAATGCATAATCTTTCTCACAACTCTACCTTGTGCAATATAAATCTTTTAAACTTTCATTCTTGTTGACAGTTGCTACTGTAAGGAATCTTTTTAATGTGTGGGACTGGGAGGATGTTATTAGTTTATTGAGATGGAAGTGCTATTGACATGAAAGGTTTGATACAAACCAAGTGCAGGATAAACTGACACTAGAATTTATTAAAAGTAGAGTAAGTGGAGTAAGCAAATGTTTTTTGTGGGTTTTTTTTTCTGAATTAGCTGTAGTATCTTTATTTTTCTTAATGTCAGCTGTCTTTTGCTCACCACTGCAAGGTTATGACTGTTCCTTGTCCTTTTTCCTATCTACACAACACCATTATCCTAGTGAGCATACTTCCTGCAATAAGAGAACATCTGCCACAGCCTTTGTTTGAAGTTAATTTGTGGATATTTAATCTGAGATACTGAAATGAAATCTTTTATTGGATTAGTCCTTCCAGTAGAGAAGCAAAACAAAGCTATAAATAAGACTCAACAGCTGTCACTAGATCATTTTTAAAAAGCACAGGTCTGGGGAACGTAGAGGAAGAGAACAAGCATACACTGACGCATATGCATCTTGTGCATAAAGAAATCTTGTCTTCCACTGTATTTCTTCCCTTTTCTCTCCTCCACCCCAAGATATATAGTCCCAAACTGACATCTTCACTTAGCTTTAAGGTTGGCCTTTCCTTTTTCACAGAATAAATTCATCTGTAGAAGGAGCTGTGGACTCTTTCAAGCAGCTACATTAAATAGTAGTGACTTCAAATGAAGACTCCTTCACCTTTGAAATGTGACACTTCTGAAGGATTTCAAAACCTACTTCCAAGTGTTGTTTTTGAACTTTCCACACAGCAGCAGAAAAATCCATATCAACAGAATGTACAACTCAATTTCACCTTTCCAGAAGCAACCTGGCAGTTCTTCAGGAAGTTCTGTACACTTAGTCCATCCTTTAGTTTCAAAGAAAAGTGTTTGTCCTAGTCACTCTGTTATCTACCTGCACTATATTTGTTTTTCTTTGTTAGCCAAAAAGAGCTCTATACTTTTCCTAGGTCATAAAAATATTATCTGTGAAAAAAATCTGAGAAGAGTGATTTAGTAAGAAATACAGCTGGAAAACAAAACAAAAAACAACAACAAAAAAGATACCTTGGAATAACTGCAAATTATGATTTTTTTTTATCCCATTTGCATGTATTGTGAGAGCAGCCCATCACAAAAGAACAGGAAACCAGCAGGGGAACATAGAGGTGACAGCTGGCCACGTTCGCTCGTGTACACATGTGAAATGCTGAAGTGATCTGAGTTTTCCGTTCAACATTGGCAACATCTTCACTGGAAAACACTATGAAGCTCTGGGCCTGCGGGCCCAGAAGAGGGAGGAAGGTTGATAAGAAGTGAGGAAACCTGCCTATGACAGATAAATGGATTAAGTTCTGTTTGGCCTAAAAATGAGAAGGCCAAGGGAAGATATAACAGCTTTTTGGGCTGGAGAAGAGATAGTGAATAACCAGTAATGAAACAGAGGTGCTGGTACCAGCCAGTTGACCATTCCTAGTGCTTTCTGATTCTACTGGGGCTTTCAAACAGATGTTCAGAAAGATTTCAAGGACATTATGAAATCGGTCTATTCCTTTCCCACAGGCAGAACAACCCGCAATACACATGAATTACCTTTCTTCCCCAACAAAATAAATACATCAGGACTCTTTGGCAGGCAAAATTAACATAGACAACAGTGATTTATTATGAGCTACGAATGTTCAACTAAAGGGATTTCAGGGATAAATCAATATTTTTTGTGTTATATCGCATGAATATTAACACCTACCCTGCAATTGAGTCAGTTATTTCACTACAATCTGTCTCTACTTCATAAACCTGTTAGCAAATCAACCACCCAAAAATTCAGTCAGGAAGACACAATAGAGACAACATGACTTTTTGTTGCTCAAATGGAAACTAAAGAGTCCTGAGCTTATTTCCATCTTCTACAGGAGTTTTATAAACCCCCAAATAAAAGGCTGCACATCTATGTTTTCCTTTTCTGCAGATCAAACACAAATAAAATCTTATTATAAGGCAATCTCTAACAAGTAGTATCTCTGTCAATCCCTTACATGCTCGAGGAGAGAAAAGTTAAAACTATATTTAAGATTCTTTATTACCTATAGATTTCCTTATTTCTTTAATAAGAAAATAGGGAAAATAAGACTTTTTCTTCATTAAAATGTACTTCCTTTTTTTTTGCAAGAGTCCACAGTAACATCAAAACTGACAATACACAATGTCAAACAAACAAAATAATAGAAAAAGTGTAGAATATCATTTGTACTAAACTGACAAGACACAGAAATCTGTTTTTTTTCTTATAGATTGCATGACTTTGAGAAAAGTTTTGCTACAGAAAGTGAAAAACAAAGTAATACTTCGAATCAAGGAAGCTTTCTGCAAAACAAGCCAATACTCATGTTTCCTGCTCTGACCCAAAGACTCAGAACCTTGTTCTCTCAAGTAAAACCTATTATAGATATTCAAACTACAGATTTCTTTATATAAATTTATCACTTCAATTTACAGGAAATTAAATATGCAAGAGAAAAGAAATTTAGGCACTCTTTTAGATTATCATGTATTTTTCCTGAATAAATCAAAAGGAAAACTGGATAGTCCTTGAGTTCATCTTCTATATGAGATAAATAGGGTTAAATGTTCAAAACAGATGTAGGGTTTAACAACTGGTTGGCTGTTTTCTTTTCAGCATAAAAGTATTTGGTTACTCCATCACTACTAGGTCACTATGACAATCTAATTTACTCTCAGCTGGGACGAGTCTTTTTTAATTTGATAACTCTGTGTCTATTTCTTTATCCAAACTGGTCACGAGCAGCAAAAGTTGTCATTTCTTATTCAGTGTTCTGTATATTCATCTTCAGTGGAATGTCAAGAACAAGA